GCAAATTAAAATGATAAAATAAAATGAATAAAAACTTTTATTCTAACCCACTTAGTACACGTGCATGCAAGCAATCTGGCAGCACGCCTATAGTTAATTTCCTCGTACTCTTTTATATATTTCCTTTTGTGCCTACTAACACTTAACACTTAACCCAACCGGCACTTGATTTCGTACGGGACACTTGAATGTACTGACCGTAGTGCATCAACGTCCATATATTTTTTTATATATTAACTTTGTCCTTATCAGGCTTAGGAGGAATAAATAATTATTTGATAAATAAACGTTTAAAATATATATACCAAATTTATTTAATTGACGCCCAACGTAACCGATTTACGCAGTTTTCGGTTCGGTGAATTTTTACGAAAGTAAATTGCAAATAATTTGGAAGTGTAAAAATTCTTTATACTCGCACGACGCCAGTGCAGTGAATTTTAAAAGTAAATTGCAACAAAAAAATAATATAAATAAATAAAGAAATAAATAGACCTCAAATCACAGCCGTTGTAATTTATTTGCAAAGTGATATTGCAAGATAATTAAATATAAAATATATTAAGAACAAAAGTACCCCTGAATTGAACGCTGATCCTTTCGAAGTCGGATTCGGTGCTGACGTATTTCGCTTTCGGGATATTTTTTTTAACACAAAGTGCGCCGATAAGAAAAAAGAAATTTCAGCAATTATTTTACGTTTTGCTTTTCAAACTACAGATATTTTCTGTAAATGAAAATCGGAATACATCTATAAAGTAGAAACCTATTAATATGAACATAATATTATATTTTCGAGAGCTTTTGTATTTTTTATGCACTATAATTTTGATATCTTATTTAACCACGGTTAATGATTCCTTTTAATTTTGTTGGTGAATCTTTTAATGAATCTTTTAATTAAAAAAAATGTATTGAATTAACAACTTCAAAAATAAAGTAAGAAAAATTTTGCCTCGAGGGGGATTTGAACTCTTGTTAGCCTGTTTCGAAGGCGGATGTTCTAGCCCTTGAGCCACACGCCACGATCGGCTCGCGACGGCAAAGACGAGCAAAAAAATAAATGTCCTAAAGGGGTTGCCAGTTTTTGTCCCTTTCACACGCGATATGCACATGTGTATATATCGCCGACTCAATTTTAGTTGTCTATCTAGCGCGATGTGTAAAGGGCCGGACTGATAAACATTAAGACGTAGGTTCAATCCCCAGTTGGTTATATAATATTTTGAATTTTTTGAACAATTAACAATTTATATGTAATAAACGAAAAAAAAAAACAAGAAAGAAAGCAAAGCTCGGCACACCGAAGTTTATATACCCTTGCAGATAAAACTTCGATGACTAGGAATCCATACAATATAAAATATATATATTAATGTTAAACAAGAAAGGAAGCTAACTTCGGCACGCCGAAGTTTATATACCCTTGCAGATAGAACTTCTATGAATAGGAATCCATACAATATAAATTATATATATTTGTGTTAAAAAACAATGAAGTAATACCTGCTTTCATTTCATTCACCTATACATATTATATTTGCAGTTTTACATTCACAGATTTGCATTTTTCCTCTACATCAAACGATCGTTTGTATGGCACCTATATGATATAGTCGTCCGATTTTTATGAAATTTGCCACAAAATTTAAGACTTATATAAAATGGCTATACCTCAAATTTGATGAAAATCAGCTGAAAACTAAAAAAGTTATAAATTTATTTGTATTAATTTCTCGATCGTTCCTATGGGAGCCATATGATATAGTCGTCCAATTTTCATAAAATTGTACACAAAATTTTAGAATAATATGAAATGGCTATATTTCAAATTTGATTAAATTCTGTTGAAAACTAAAAATGTTATCGCCACCGCGATTGTCAGTCTTCCGACAACAGCCACCGCCATTCTCATTCCTCTAAAATTTCTCGATCGTTCCTATGGTAGCTATATGATATATAAGTCCGATTTTCATAAAATTTTACACAAAATTGTAGAATAATATGAAACGGCTATATCTCAAATTTGATGAAAATCTGTTGAAAACTGAAAATGTTATACTTTTTAATTGAATTAATTTCTCGATCGTTCCTATGGGAGCTATATGATATAGTCGTCCGATTTTCATAAAATTTTACACGAAATTGTAGAATAATATCAAATGGCTATATCTCAAATTTGATCAAATTCTGTTGAAAACTAAAAATTTTATAATTTTTTTTGTAAAACTTTTCCGATCATTCCTATGACAGCTATATGATATAGTCGTCCGATCCGGCCCGTTCCGACATATATACGAGTGAGAGTATATAGAAGACTAACTGCAAAGTTTCATTCAGATAGCTTCAAAACTGAGAGACTAGTTTGCGTAGAAATGGACAGACGGACAGACGGACAGACGGACAGACGGACATGGTTAGATCGACTCGGCTGTTGATCCTGATCAAGAATATATATACTTTATATAGTCGGAGGTGCCTCCTTCACTGCGTTGCAAACTTCTGACTGAAATTATAATACCCTGCAAGGGTATAAAAACAATGAAGTAATACCTGCTCTCATTTCATTCACCTATACATATTATATTTTCAGTTTTACATTCACAGATTTGCATTTTTGCTCCACATCTAACGATCGTTTGTATGGCACTTATGAGATATAGTCGTTTGATTTTCATAAAATTTGACACAAAACTTAATACTGATAAAAATGGCTATATATCAAATTTGATGAAAATCTGTTGAAAACTGAAAATGTTATACTTTTTAATTGTATTCATTTTTTGATCGTTCCTATGACAGCTATGTGATATAGTTGTCCGGTTTTTTATAACTTTACACGAAATTGTAGAATAAAATAAAATAGCTATATCTCATATTTGATGAAAATTTGGTGAAACTGAAAAAGTTATAATCTTAAATTTTATTAATTTCTTGTATTTCTTATAAAATGGCTATGTATCAAATTTGATGAAAAATCTGTTGAAAACTGAAAATGTTATACTTTTTAATTGAATTAATTTCTCGATCGTTCCTATAGGAGCTATATGATATAGTCGTCCAATTTTCACAAAATTTTAGAATAATATGAAATGGCTATATCTCAAATTTATTAAATTCTGTTGAAAACTAAAAATGTTATCGCCACCGCAATTGTCAGTCTTCCGACAACAGCCACCGCCATTCTCATTCCTCTTAAACTTCTCGATCGTTCCTATGAGAGCTATATGATATAGTCGTCCAATTCTCATAAAATTGTACACAAAACTGTATAATAATCTGTGATAGCGACAGCAGTAGCGACGACCAGCAGCAACGGGAGCAGATACGACAGCAGCAACGACAGCAGTGACGGCAGTAGCAGCGAATAAAAGAAAGCTCGATTTTTACTATTATTACTATTATTACTATTATTACTATTATTACTATTATTACTATTATTACTATTATTACTATTATTACTATTATTACTATTATTACTATTATTACTATTATTACTATTATTACTATTATTACTATTATTACTATTATTACTATTATTACTATTATTACTATTATTACTATTATTACTATTATTACTTATTACTATTATTACTATTATTACTATTATTACTATTATTACTATTATTACTATTATTACTATTATTACTATTATTACTATTATTACTATTATTACTATTATTACTATTATTACTATTATTACTATTATTACTATTATTACTATTATTACTATTATTACTATTATTACTATTATTACTATTATAACTATTATTACTGTCGGGAGCAGAAGCAGCAGATTTAATATTAGCATGTTTTAAATCATTATTTGTAAACAAGCGATCAGCTGCGGCAGAAGCTTTCCACCTCATAAGCCGGCATGAAAGCTCTTCCGCCGCAGCTCTTCTGTTTGGCTTATCTATTCTCTCGTTTCATTCGCTCACTTACGTTGAAACTAAAAACACACAAAAACTTTGTAACCAAACCACACACAAGCACACACAAATTAAAACATAACTAATTTTACGCCAACACAAAACAAACCCCTCGCTAAATCAATTCGCTTAATAGGTGGCATAAATTAATGCCCTCCTCAAAACATTTGGTGACCCCGACGTGATCGCGTAAAAAATCGTTTTCGGTAAACTAAAAGGTGAAAAGTGCTTATATATAGTTCGTATGCTCACACAATACAATTGCATATCGTTGCATCGCTATTGAACTTTATCGGTACATTCGAGTACATAGCATCTCTTTATATAATTGTGCACTAGCATATAGTTGCAGCCCTTTATATACTTTTCGTGCAAATTGTGTTTGTGCTGTTGGTTTTGGTGGTCCGATAGAACCGTTAGATTGCGGTCAGTGAACGCCAAGCTTGGCTCCGCTATTCTTTCGTTCTCTATTCTCTGCGTTTGGTACAGCTGCATCGGTCGCAAACCCAAGGTAACATTTGAATACTGAATAATTTGAATAATTTTGATAAGTCTCAAACAGCTGTCGAAAGGCTCAATCTACTAGAGCTGGCTAGTGATGTGCGTGCAAAATTTCTAAACATTTATTGTGCGGTGAAATCCAAAATATCTCGCGAACTAGCAAAACTCCGCCGAGTGTCAGTGATAAATTCGACTGCACTCCCAAATTTCAACATCGAGCAGGCTTCAACCTCCAGGGCTGGTGTCCGGGCCACTAGGCTGCCTGAGTTTAAGCTGCCACGATTTGGAGGCGCTTATATGGACTGGCCAGATTTCTACGCTATGTACACTACAGTCATCGGCAACAACGAGGACCTGACCAATTTGGAAAAATTCCAGCATCTACGCTCCTGTTTGGATGGCCCCGCGTTAGACACAATTCGCTCGCTGGAGCTAACAGAGGCCAATTATGAGAAGGCAGTCGACCTATTGACTGCTAGGTTTGATAACAAACTTTGCATTTTCAGGGGCACATACGATCTATTTTCAGGCTTTCTAGTGCGGTGAAAGGGTCGTCAAGGAGTTTGCGGCAATTGAGCGACGGCATCAACTCTCATCTGCGAGCCCTTAACACAATGGCAACCACCCAGGAGATTGCGGATGGAATGCTCATATCCCTGGTGTCCTCCAAACTGGATAAGCATACCCAGGAGAAGTGGGAAGAGGGATTGCCTACCAATAAGCTGCTAAAATGGACGGATATGGCTGCCTTTTTGGAGAAGAGATGTCGGATGATGGAAAACATTGAAAATGCTATGGTAACCCACACACCTAGCAACCAGGTGGGAAAAACTATAAATAAAAATGTCCCAAACGCTTGCACCGCATCATCCTACACCTCATTATGTATTTTGTGTGATTCTAAGGATTACTTTATTTCGAAATGTCCACAATTTATTGCCTTGATTCCCACATTACGCTACAAAGAAGCAAAAAGGCTACATCTTTGCCTAAATTGCCTGCGTAAAGGCCACAGCCTGCAGCAGTGCAAAGCTGGGAACTGCAGGCATTGTCGCTCTAAGCATCATACATTGCTACATTTGGAGTCAAATCCTGCTTCATCACCCTCGCAGCCCACATCCACTTCTGCTCCTCAAAATAGTGCCTCGCTCATTTCTGCTTCGCCAAATTCACCCCCACCTAAAGCCTCGGTAGATCATCAATCTGATTATGTGCTTCTTGCCACTGCCATCATATATGTCCGAAATCGTTCTGGCATAATGGTGCCCTGCAGAGCCTTGCTCGACTCTGCATCGCAAATTAATTTCATTACTTCTCGACTCGCTCATCAATTGCAACTGTCAACTCGTCGCTCAAATACATGCATCTCAGGTATAGGAGAGTCTTCACTCATGGCTGATAAGGCGGTAGATATTATTGTACAATCTCGCAACAAAGGTTACCAAACATCATTCGCTGCAATAAAGACTAGCACCATCACAAATTATCAGCCGCATTTCGACCTAAACTCTTCAGAATGGAACATCCCCAGCAATTTATTCCTCGCCGACCCGCTCTTTCATAAAAGTCAAAGGATTGACATTCTTATAGGAGCTGGAATCTTCTTCGACCTGCTTTGCGTTGGGCAGATACGGCTAGCCGATCACCTTCCCTCCTTGCAAAAAACTAGATTGGGTTGGGTAGTATCCGGTGGCATATCTTCGCCGGCCCATAAACACTCTTCTCTTCCCGCATTGTCAGTTGAGCACGATGTACAATTGGAACCTGAATCGTTGCCGGACCTTGTCAAACGGTTTTGGGAAATTGACAGCTATTGTGGATCGTCATCTGCTCCAACTGATGAGGATGCCTTGTGCGAGAATTTATTTGCTCAATCTTATTCTCGGCTTGAGTCAGGCCAATATTCAGTTCGATTGCCCGCAAAGACTAGTCTAGATATGCTAGGAGATTCATACCATCGTGCTTCGCAGCGATTCAAATCATTGGAATCCGAATTGGCTAGAAATCCTAATCTCAAGGCTCAATATATTTCCTTTATAAAGGAGTATATCGATTTAGGCCATATGTCGCTCTCTTGCAAGCAGTCAGCTTTGCCGCAATATTATTTGCCCCACCACTGCGTTCACAAATTGGACAAACTCAGGGTAGTCTTCGATGGTTCTGCCAAGTCTTCGTCTGGATACTCTTTAAACGAGTTGCTCTTTGCTGGTCCCTCCATTCAGCCTAAAATCTTCAGCACTTTGGTTCGGTTCAGATTCTTTAAAGTGGCACTATGCGGCGACATCTGCAAAATGTATCGCTGTGTGCGTGTCACCGAACCTGATAATCTGCTCCAATGTATCCTCTGGCGTGATAGTCCAAACGAAGAAATTAAAATATACACCCTAGACACCGTCACTTATGGCACTAAGCCTGCTGCATTCCTAGCAATTCGTGCTATGCAGCAGCTCTCCTATGATGAAGAGAAGGATTTTCCTGTGGCAGCCAAGATCGTGCGTAGGGACTTTTATGTTGACGACCTTATTTCTGGAGGCGACTCGATCGAAGAGATCGCTTATATCCGACAGCAGGTTAAATCGTTACTTGCAAAAGGCCTATTTCCAATTCGTAAATGGTGCTCCAATGAGCCGGCAGCGCTTGAAGGAGAACTTGAGGCTGATCGCGAGAAAATGCTCAAATTCGATGATAGGACTGACGTCGCCATAACACTTGGCCTATACTGGGATACAAGTTCCGATAATTTGCTTTTTGGATTCTCTGGAAATGTAGCAGACAAGCCAGCTACCAAGAGCTCTATTTTATCAGCCGTAGCCAAATTCTACGATCCCCTAGGTCTTATAGCGCCCATTATAACCAGGCTCAAAATATTCTTGCAAATCCTGTGGAAAGATAAGCTCGACTGGGATGAGACTTTGCCACAATCTTTGCATTCCTTATGGTTGGAACACTCCGCGCAAATCTCGGCTGTCAGCCATTTAAAATTTCCTCGCTTCATTATGCAATCTGACTCATCTTTGGAAATTCATGGATTTTGTGATGCAAGCTTGGCGGCATATGGTGCCTGTATTTATGTGCGCTCCGAAACAGGGGGCACCTACTCATCACATTTGCTTTGCTCCAAGTCTAGAGTCTCGCCGCTTAAAACACTAACCATACCCAAGCTTGAATTATGCGCAGCTCTATTGCTATCCGAACTCATCCACAGCATCGCTAATGCCATTTCTCAGCCTTGCACATATCATTGTTGGTCTGACTCAACAATTGTGCTCTCTTGGATTCGCCAGGCCCCATCAGACTTTAACATTTTCGTCTCCAACAGAATCGCGCAGATTCAAGAAAGGACCAAGGATATGGCTTGGCATCATATATCGACCCACTACAACCCGGCTGTCATATTATCCAGAGGATGTACTCCGCTCGAACTTTTGGATTCGACGCTGTGGCGTGAGGGCCCACCATTCCTGCGGACAGACGAAGCTTGCTGGCCGCCTCATACGCCTACTCTAGTAGATGTGCCTGAACGCCGCCGCCTCGCGCTGGTGCTGACGCAAAGCCAGGATATTTCGTATGGCTGCAAGTTTCAAAATTGTTTTGGAAAGCTGCAGCGAGTCTTTGGCTACATACATCGGTTCCTAATGCTAAAAGCCAAGGATGAGCCACGACGGCGAGGATCTCTTACAGTAGACGACATCAAGGGAGGCACGCATCTGCTCATCAAGGGAATCCAGCTCATCAACTTTGCTGAGGAGTATAAGGCCTGCAATCCGAAAGGCAGATTTCCTCAAAAAGCAAGCTGTACTCGCTGCATCCAATCTGCGATGAATCGGGACTTATTCGAGTTGGCGGTCGGCTGCAGAATTCATTATTGGATTATGATGCAAAACACCCAATTTTGCTTCCCAAGGATTATCCAGTCACGTCAGCAATCATAGCTCACTATCATTTGAAATTTCTTCACTCAGGTCCGCAGAGCTTATTGGCGTCTTTACGGCAAAGGTTTTGGCCAATTGGTGGTCGAAAAATAGTCGCCGCCACTATCAACAAATGCATTCGCTGCTTTCGATTAAAGCCCAAATTAGCTGAGCACATTATGGCCCCTTGCCATCCAACCGCGTGCAGCCAAGTCGACCATTTGTCACAGTGGGAATCGATTTCTGTGGTCCTTTCTACTCCAAGTCTGAAGTCAGAAACCGGCCACCCGTCAAATGCTATATCGCAATATTTGTTTGCTTCGCCACTAAAGCCTGCCATTTGGAGCTGGTGGAGGATTTGTCTGCGGCTTCATTCATCGCTGCCCTCAAGCGCTTCATAAGCCTAAGGGGCAAGCCTGGCACAATATGGTCCGATAACGCTACAAACTTCGTTGGAGCCAAAAACGAGCTGCTGGAACTGAGGCAACTGTTTCTCGCCGACCCTCAAAACAGCGATCTTCAGCAGGCCTTCGTTTCCATCGGGATCAAATGGCAATTTATTCCCCTCGTTCGCCTCATTTCGGCGGCCTATGGGAGGCTGCCGTCAAATCTGCAAAATATCATTTTCATCGGGTCGTTGGCAACACTATTCTCTCATTCAATGAGCTTCGCACTTTAGTTAATGAAATTTCAGCGATGCTTAACTCTCGACCGCTCTGTCCAATTTCAGAAAACCCTAACGATTTGGATGTCCTTACACCTGGTCACTTTTTGATTGGGTCTTCTTTCGCCACAATCGAGGAGCCCGACATCACGCACCTCAGCATCGATCGGCTGAGCCGCTGGTAACGAGTTTGCCAAATTCAGCAAATCATCTGGCGGAAGTGGAGTACCAGCTACCTCTCGCTTTTACAAGAACGTGGGAAATGGCGTGCATCAAGGCCCAACATCCTACCGCATAGCATTGTGGTGCGCAAGGAGGACAACATCCCTCCGCTTCAATGGCGCTTTGGCAGAGTGGAGAGCATCATCCATGGAGCTGACGGTGTGGCCCGTGTCGCTGTCATTCGGACAGCCACCGGCCTAATAAAAAGGGCTGTTGGCAAAATAGCTGTTCTACCCCTGGAAACCACCTCATCTGGCAGCGTGCCGCATCCAGCGGGGGGAGCATGTCGGGAGCAGAAGCAGCAGATTTAATATTAGCATGTTTTAAATCATTATTTGTAAACAAGCGATCAGCTGCGGCAGAAGCTTTCCACCTCATAAGCCGGCATGAAAGCTCTTCCGCCGCAGCTCTTCTGTTTGGCTTATCTATTCTCTCGTTTCATTCGCTCACTTACGTTGAAACTAAAAACACACAAAAACTTTGTATAAAACCACACACAAGCACACACAAATTAAAACATAACTAATTTTACGCCAACACAAAACAAACCCCTCGCTAAATCAATTCGCTTAATAGGTGGCATAAATTAATGCCCTCCTCAAAACAAAGTGACTTCTTGTTAATTTAGTCATTCTTGTTACTGATCCCTGCTCTAATTCGTGTACCTCTAGTATAACATAAAAATCGACTATTCCGTCAGGGGTTTCAAACTTAGCTTTTAGTAAGTTATTTCTTATAGATTTGAAAAGATTGGGGAATGTCATAAATCTAACAATATTTTTATTATTGAAGCTAAGGTAAGAATTCTCTTTCGTGACTTCAAGTATCGAGGTACATTTTCTTTTGTTATCTCCTTGATCATACAAAACGCCTCTTACTTTGAAGCCAATATTTTCTGCAATATTAATGTTTTTATAAATAGGGCTTTTAAGCCATACTTTTATGTTTGTTTCCGGCACAAAATAGTTCAATATAAATTTGCATATTTTCTAAATACCCCGTATAATAATTATATTATTACTATTATTACTATTATTACTATTATTACTATTATTACTATTATTACTATATTACTATTATTACTATTATTACTATTATTACTATTATTACTATTATTACTATTATTACTATTATTACTATTATTACTATTATTACTATTATTACTATTATTACTATTATTACTATTATTACTATTATTACTATTATTACTATTATTACTATTATTACTATTATTACTATTATTACTATTATTACTATTATTACTATTATTACTATTATTACTATTATTACTATTATTACTATTATTACTATTATTACTATTATTACTATTATTACTATTATTACTATTATTACTATTATTACTATTATTACTATTATTACTATTATTACTATTATTACTATTATTACTATTATTACTATTATTACTATTATTACTATATTACCACTTGACAGGAGTAAACAGCTCAGAACAAAGGAGAGCGTTTGTTACGTTACCAACGGAAGACGCTCTGAAGATACTGACGGAAAAACGAATAAAAATAGGATGGACCCGATGCCGCGTTAAGCGTTGTCTCGATATAAAGAGATGCTTCAAATGTTTCGGGTTGGGACATTTGCAAAAGAATTGCAAAGGACCGGATAGGAGAGACCTCTGCATTAGATGTGGTGAAAGTGGTCATAAAATGAAGACCTGCACTAAAGCTCCGAGATGCTGTATCTGTACATCAGAGAACAGGAGCGACGTCGGACACCTCCCTGGGACGGCGCATTGCCCCAGTGTGGCCAGGAAAGGAAAGCCATGAAGGTTCTGCAAGCAAATATGCATAGAAGCAGAACGGCAAATGACCTGCTGCACCAAATTGTGCTGGAAAACAAAATTGACGTTGTTATCATAAGCGAACAATATAAGAAACGGGACGAAGGCGTCTGGCTAGAAGACGACACAAAGACGGCGGCGATCTGGATCCCCGACCTTACCACTCTTTCACACAGGGGCGACAAAATAGGAAGATGCCATGTCCTAACACAAATAAGAAACTGGACAATATTCAGCTGCTATTTGACCCCAAGTGACGACATTCAGACTTTCCAGACGAAACTTGAATGTATTGAAGACAACGCCAGGCAAATAGGAGGAAACCTAATAATAGCAGGAGACTTTAACTCAAGGGCTCAAGAATGGGGCATGGCATCAACTGACTCTCGAGGCCGTAGAGTCCTAAATATGGCAGCAAGTATCGGAATGCTATCAGCAATGTAGGAGCAATACCAACATTCCATCGAGTGGGGAACGAGGGCACAGTCCCCGACATAACCCTAGTGACAGAAAACTGCGCGCACAAGATCGCCGATTGGAAAATCCTCGACACCTACAACGGAAGTGACCATAACTATATAACGTTTAACATAGCAGAAAACGAAGTGACTACAGTGAGACCAACGAGAAAAGGATAGAACGTTAACCGACTAGACAAGGCAAGGCTGATACAAGAAATTGACGCAAGGCAGAACCGACAGAGCGGCGGTAACGCAGTTAGCAACAACCTGGCAATCATAAAACAGGCCTGCAACGCTGCAATGCCAAAAAAGGGCAATCCTCGAAGACAAGGACAAGAAGCGTATTGGTGGACAGAAGAGATAAAAGCTCTTAGAGAAGCGTGTATTAAAAACAGACGCCGCCTCACGAGGGCTAGAGGAAGGGGGATTCTCAGAGAACTTAATGACGAATTTAAGAAATCCAAGAAGGACTTAAATGCTGCCACCCGGAAGAGCAAAACGGAAAAATGGCAACGCCTCTGCAACGACGTTAACTCTGACCCATGGGGGCTAGGGTATAAAATCGTGATGAAGAAGCTGAGAACAAGAAGCACAAAACCAGAACTGGAGGAAGAACAAATGGACCATATAGTCAAAACATTATTCCCCACTCATACAAACAGTAAGGCGAGAACTTCTCCACCAATAGCAGAACAGATCGAACTCTTCACAGTGGACGAGCTACTGAAAGCGGCAAAAACCTTAAAAGGGAAGAAGGCTCCAGGGCCCGACAACATCCCAGGTCGGTCCAGAGGTCCTCAAAGTGATCGCGGAGAGCAGACCCCAAATCCTGCTGGATATGTATAACGATTGCATTACCAGCCGGAAATTCCCCGACATCTGAAAGAGGCAACGATTAGTTCTCATAAGTAAGGGCAAAGGAGATCCCCCAACCCCATCAGTTTATCGACCACTATGTATGCTTGACACTACCTGAAAGCTACTAGAGAAAATGATTAAGCCACGCCTATCAGCAGCGATCGAAAGAGGTGGGGGTCTTTCACCGATGCAGTATGGCTTTAGGCCAGGCAGGTCGACCATTGGAGCAATCCAAGAAGTCGTCAACAAAGCGCTCAGCAGCCAACAAGGCAACCACTTCTCGAGGCCGGTAGTTCTCCTAGCAACACTGGATGTTAAAAACGCATTCAACAGCGTTAAATGGGACAACATAATTGATGCCTTGAAAAGACGATTCCAAATCTCAGGATACCTGATGCGGATAATACAGAGCTATCTTGAGAACCGACGACTACTGTACCAAACAAAAGCAGGAGAGAAATGTATAGAGATAACTTCAGGAGCGCCACAAGGATCAATACTTGGACCGGAGCTTCGGAACATCAGCTACGATGAAATTTTTCACCTAGACATCCCTGAGGGCACGACTATTGTGGGGTACGCGGACGACATAGTCGCAGTCATTACAGCTCGAAATACCGAGTACGCACAACGCATGTTGACGCAAGTAATGACACGCGTAAAAAGCTGGCTGAACTCACACGACCTGAAACTGGCGGACGAAAAAACAGAGCTACTTTTAGTCAG